GCAGATGGATGAAGTACACTGCTGAGGGGAGCAGCGGGCGGGTCAGGAGAGGTCTGCTGTGCCTTGTGGATCTCTTCCGGGGGTATTGAACTCACACTGAAATGGCCTCGACCAGCTTCACAGTGCTGTGCTTTAACCTCCTGCGCCAATAGGGAGGGTCCTATTCATTCTTTTGACTTAAGGCCAAGCCACTGGGGCGGTTGCTCGGGAGGCAGGTCCTCTCTCGCTGAGTCCCGCAGTGAATCCAGCAGCTGTGTCCCACCAGTTACCCCAGTGAGTGAAAACCACACAGGAAAAGATGGCCCAGGGGGGATGTTAGGGTGATGCAGCTTGCCTCAGTTCTACCTCAGAGGATACCAGGGACCAAAGAAAATGCTGGGGTGAGGACACAGACTTGGATCCCCAGGTTTGCAATTCTCCTGCAGGCTCCTTTCTATCCTCCCATGAAGAATTGTTGGAACCTTGGGGGAGAAATGATACACTGAGCTGTGAAGTGGGAGTTTGCAGTATTTGTACTTTTCACAATCTAGCACTTTCGACCTCACAAGGAAAAAATTTCAAATTATATTGGAGCTTGAAAATAAAGGTTTTTCACCTTTTCTTTTTCTTCCTTTCATTCTTTCTTTCTTTTTTGCCTGAAGTGTTGACAGACCCTTCAAAATGGAATCTCATTCCAGACACTGTGAATCACACCACACGGTGTTGTGTAGAGGTTTGCTCAGGGGCTTCAGCCTTGAGTAATGATACACTAAAAGTCAGTGAGATGACAGGCAAGTGACAAATCCTCATCTACCATCAGTCATTGTGTCACCGAGAACACAGCCCACTCCTCCTGCTATGTGGAACCTCAGGATTTTTTTTCATGAAACAAATCATCCTGGAAGGACACTAAGTCCCCGTTGTTTTTTATTTAAAAGTCATAAGTTGGCCCTCCCTGGTGGCGCAGCGGGTTAAAGCACAGCACTGAGAATCTAAAAGTCTCAAGTTAAAGCCACAAAGACATGGAAGTGAGAGCATATGAAAATTTATACTTCCACTAACAGTGACTTCTCTACAGTGATAAAAATCACTTTGTTCTCCAGTTTGGAGTCACAGGAAGAATCAAGTCATTGTGTAGATTACTTAAAATTCCAGTGTGCCTGCACCATTTGGCCTAAGAATGCTAAAAATTTGCAGCTGTTGCTCCCCCGAAAGGTTTCTAACTGGGGCAGTGGCTGCTGTTTAACTCACAGCTGTTGTTAATTTGAGCTGAAGCTTTTTAATTGCCTTTGTGTCAAGATTTATTCAATAACATTTTAGAGGAACAAAAACTGTAATAGTCATATTAGTGGGATGCTGAAGGAAGAATATAATTGGAATACGGCATTTTTGCCCAGAAAGCCAAGTCTGAAAATATCTTTCCACATGACCGGCTTCCAGCCATCCCAGGAAAAGAGTTTCCAGGTAAATCCGGCCCCTGTGGCCTCTGCTGGAACTCTGCATCTTGTTCCCATTGCCCGTTCATCTGGAAGCACTTCTTTCCTGAGTGGCCTTCTCTCATTCCCACACTCTCCTCTATTACCTCAGGAGGCAAGAAACATTGTGCTCAAAGCTACTTAGCTTTAGTTAGCGATGGGCTGCGCCTTCTAAGTGCCCTACTTTACTTTTGCAGAATTTTTAATTGCTGTTTTCCTGTTTGTGACAGTAAGGAGGGCTTGATTCTTTTCCATGTGGCTTAGAGCGTCTTCACGGAGGGGCAGAAGATAGAAAATGTGGGTCCCCTTCCCTGGGTGTTCTGCCTAGGCACAGGGGAGGGGGTGGGAGGCCTGACCACCAATGAGGGGGCAGTAACTAATGTCCCGTAAGAGGAAAGCTGCCAGTTGTCCCGAGAAAGGAGTTTCAAGGTGCTGAAGGGCCGAATAAGTTTAAATCCTAACTAGCTAATCTCAACTGTGTGTTGCATTTCAATATCAAGTATTCTCTTGTAACAGAAAAGCTTGGATCCAGCAGGAACTTGGGAAATGACAGCTGGTGTGAGGTACTGTGCTAGGCACAGCAGTCAGAGGGTCTAGCGAAAGACTGGATAGTGAGTGGACACTGAGAACACCCTTTAAAAGATTTATTTTATTTATGGTGGTGCAAGGGATTAAGTCTCAGCACTATGAAGCTAACGGCAGGATACCCTTTAAATCACTCACCCCAACAGAGGCTGGGATGAGAGGGCTGATTCCTGCCAGAGGAGGAGCAGTTGACACAAGCCTCAGAGATCTAGAGGATCTTGAGAGAGAAGGAAGGAAGGGCTGAGGACTTGGAAGAGCAATAGCCCAGCGGCCAGGAAAAATACGTCTTGTTGAAGGAACAGCACATAGTTGCACATGGTAGCGTTGGACGAGGATAAGAAATGAAAAGTTTGAAGAGCTAAAATGAAGTCGATGGTGGAGGAGAAAAATGCCACTATTGGATATTGGGGAGCAGAGAAGTCACATACTTTCTAGACAGCTCATCCTGCTGTCAGGTCAAGTCCAAAGCCCACATGCAGATGTGGGTTAAACACCAAGAGCATGAGGACCCGACTTGTGGCCTGGTACAGCAGGGAAGAAAGGAGGGACCCTCTGAAAAGCCAGAGTCCAGGCTTCACGTTCTCAGCTTGCTGCTTACTGGCAATGCAGCCTGAGGTGTGGGGTTAACTTTCCCATGCCTCTGCTTCTCCATCTGTAAAATGGGGATAACAGCACTGTCTGCCTCATAAGGTTATCTTAAATGAATACACACAGAATCCTTAGAGAACTAACAGTAAGCATTTGATAAATTTTGTTTCTGTTCTTTACCAGAGGTAAATTTTATGACTTAGTTGAACTTGGGGGATAAGGAAAAGAATCAAAGTTATAATGTTCACTAAAGGAATATGATAGATACCCAGAGTTAATAATAGTGGTCAAAACAACAGAAAAAAATCACATGGAAATGTTAGCACATAACCAAGGGGTGCTCGGGAACCCCTAAGCCTGCACGCTCTAAAGGGAGCCAGCCAGCCATATGCACAAAGACAAAGCATATTTTTAGTGTAAATGAACTTTAATAAAATTAGTGTGCATAGACAGAGAAGCAAGGATAATACATTCCCAATAAAACTCCCAAAGTTTTAAATACAGATTTGCCCAAAGCAGGAACACTGAAGCCTGAAAACTACCACAGGTACTAAGACACCCCTTGGGGAAACATAGGAAAGGGTTTTATTTT